TGAGTTCAAACAACTGAAGGGCGCCATGGTACCTACATATATCGAAGAGATTTCCATTTCCGCCGATACAGCAGCTCAGATTGGTGAACGTCTCAACGTCGTAGCGAATGCTCAACGTTTCGGCGCACGACAAGTTACTGGCGACATATTCGCGTTGGACCCGATGACTTTGAAGCCTGTCGTTCTCATGGACGGCTTCAAGTTCGTCGCCATCAATACGAACACCACATCTAGCGAGCAAGCGTCCCCTCCAAAACTCTGTTACAAGGCGGTTTGGGAGCCAGATGTTGAACTTATCGACCGTGAGCATCTCAACCGCGAACTGCAAGCAGCACCGAAACCAGATGATCGTCCGAAGACTGTCAGAGAGCTGGAGCTGCTTTCGTACTACTTCATCGACAAGGCACTGCAAGAAGTCACTGCGGACGAGGAGTCCACAATGTTGCCACACCATCAAAAGTTCTATCGAAACCTTTGCGAGCTGCGCGATGCGGTGCTAACAAAGACGCATCCTCAGCAGACAGACGAGTGGCAGCAGCTACACAGTCTGGAAGTTGCATCGAAGCTTGAGGCCATGGTAGAACACTACCGCAATCATGAGACGGCTTACGATGGCAAGCTTCTTGTTCGTGTTGGTGAGGCCCTGCCAGCTGTCTTCCGACAGGAAGTTGAGCCACTCGCTTTGATGACGCACGAGAACCTACTCGAGGACTACTACACCACTGCCGTTGGCATGCCAAACACGTATGCTCAGATCTCACGCTTTACTACTATGCTTTCGCACAAGTACCCCAATCTGGACTACCTCGAGATCGGGGCTGGTACCGGCGGTGCGACGGTTCCAACATTAAAAGGCCTGAGCGGCTGCGAAGACCTCCACACATACCCTCGCTTGAAGTCGTACACCTACACGGACATCTCATCCTACTTCTTCCAGCGCGCCGCGGAGAAGTTTGAAGACTATGCACAACTCATGAACTTCAAGAAGCTGGATGTTGAGCACGATCCATGGACGCAAGACTTCAAGCCAGCTTCTTACGACGTCATCGTTGCGGCGAACGTGCTTCACGCCACATCAGACATGCACCGTACCATGACACACGCGAGGAAGCTTCTTCGACCAGGAGGAAGACTCATACTTCTTGAAATGACCAATCGCCTACTCGCTGCTTCAGTCATCTTCGGCACCTTGCCTGGATGGTGGAATGCATCCGAAGAATGGCGGACTGGTGGACCTCTGCTGACTGAGGCCCAGTGGGAGAACTTGCTGCGCTCAACAGGGTTCAGTACTCTTCAAGCAAGTAGTCCAGACGTCTTGGATCCGCTCGAGGAGGGTACAAGGCTGATGATTGCGACTGCGGTTGAAGCAAAGCCAACGCTATCGAATGGCTTGATCACTCCACCAGAAAGACCTCGCTTCGTCATCTTATGCGCCGACTCACGCATCCGGATGAGCAGATTGGACATGCCACTGGCTCTCAAGAACAGACTGGAGAAAGTTGGCTTCCAAGTACAACTCGCGACACTCTCCAAGCTTGGCCAACAAGGCCTCGCTCGTACCATCTGCGTCAGCTTTGTCGAGCTTGAAGAGCCCTTACTCGCCGATCCCACTTCAGAAGACATGAAAACCCTCCAACACATCGCCGATGCATCGGCGGGTCTGATCTGGGTCACAAGAGGCGCGGCGTCTTCGGATGTTGAACGTCCTGAACTGGCCGTATTCCAAGGCCTTGCGCGTACGTTACGAGCTGAGAATGAGGGCTTCAAGTGTATTACAGTCGATTTGGATGCCAGGACGAACCTGCCTGCCCTGAAGGTCGCCGAGTTGCTTCTCGGCATCTATGAGAAGCAGCTCAGTACTGAGAAGAGCGCTACTCTGGTCGACAGCGAATTTGTTGAGCAGGACGGCATTCTTCACATCAAGCGTGCGATTGAAGATGAGAAGTCGAATGAGTTTCTGGTTGGTCGGACTGATGCGACGGCTTTACAGCCGCAGATGGAGGGCGTATTCCAGGAGGGTCGTCCACTTAAACTCAGCAATGTCAACAAAAGCACATCAGGCGTGGCCGTATTCGAAGAGGATGTGCGCTTTGCGCGACCCATGCAAGCCGGCGAGGTCGAAATCGAGGTTCGCGCTACAAGTCTCAGCTCCAGCGACGTCGAGATGCTGGATGGAGATGACTACGATGGCAAGCTTGGACAAGAATGTGCGGGTGTCATCACAAAGCTTGGCCATGGAGTGTTTGACCTTTCGGTTGGCGATCGAGTGGTAGCATGGTATCCAGGCACGTTCGCCACCCAAGTGCGCGTGCCAGCAGCCTTTGCGCACACGATTCCCGGTGGCATGACTTTTGAAGTCGCAGCTACATTGCCCCAGGCGCATGCGACTGCTCACCATGCGCTCAACCACGTCGCGCATCTACGATCCGGAGAGACTGTTCTCATTCACGAGGCTGCAGACGCTGTTGGCCAGGCTAGTATCGAGACGGCCTCGAAGGCGGGCGCAAAGATCTTTGCTACCGTGCGATCCGACGAAGAGAAGACCTACCTTGCCAAGGCCTATGGCCTCGAGAGAGCCCGTATCTTTTCCAGCCTCGATCTTAAGTTTGTCACTGCGCTTCGGCGCGCGACCAAAGGCCGCGGTGTTGATGTTATCTTGAACACCCTGACTGGCGAGGCATTGCAAGCGACGTTCAGCTGCATCGCGCCTTTTGGCAGATTTGTGAATCTCAATGCACCAGGGAATGGCCGACTAGAAATGGCACCGTTTGGCCGCAACGCATCCTTCTCATCAGTCGACATGGCGTTGCTGTATACGCAGAAGCCCAAGCTTGCGAGTCGAGTATTCCAAGAAGCTATGAGCGCTGCCAATGAGATGAAGACACTCGACCGTAGCGATACGAATGTCTTGCCTTGGTCTAAGCTGAACGAGGCTGTCAAGACGTTGCAAGATGCGAGTCACGATAAGCAGGTGGTAATGGTACCGCAGGCTAACGACCAAGTTCTTGTAAGTCACCGTTCATGTATCGATGTCGAAGATGCGACTAACAAGTTTCAGGTAGCCCAGAAACCACCACACGCTATCTCTTTCGACCCATCAACTTCCTACCTCCTCGCTGGCGGTCTTGGCGGTCTCGGACGAAGCATCTCCCAATGGCTCGTCACCCACGGCGCAAAACACCTCATATTCATTTCCCGCTTCGGCGCAGTCTCAGAAGAAGCCCAAGCATTCCTCGAAACCCTCCACGCCTCGGGCGTCCGCACTGCCATTTTGAAGTGTGACGTATCCGACGCACTCGAGCTTTCCAACCTTCTTTCCGACACCCTGCGCTCCTTCCCACCCATCAAGGGTGTAATTCAAGGCGCGATGACCCTTAACGACTCCCTCTTCAGCACAATGACGTCACATCAATGGACTTCGACTATCCTCCCCAAGGTCCACGGCTCGAAGAACCTCCACGAGACCACCTTATCCCAGCCACTCGACTTCTTCGTCCTCCTCTCCTCTCTCCACTCCTTCATCGGCAACCCCGGTCAAGCCAACTACGCCGCAGGCTGTGCCTACCAAGTTGCACTAGCCAAATACCGCAATGCGCTCGGTCTGCCAGCCACAGCCATCGACCTCGGTATCGTCGGCGACGTGGGCTATGTCGTCGAAAAGAAGGTTCAAGGTCGCAAAGTGCAAGTCCAGGAGTTCAAACATATTCATGAGAGAGAAATGTTGGCGCTCATCGAGCTGGGTATTCGCGAACCGATGATGGGACATGTCGTCACTGGTCTTGATTCTGACCTCGACATTAGCAGCTTGACCGACGCAGAAGCGCCGTTCTTTGCAAGAGATCCCGTGTTGAGTCACCTGCCGTACCTGCGCCCGCATCTCAAGATCGACGCGCCTGCTCAGGCGTCAGATGATGGTACGACGACTACATCGTTATCGCTCTCTGCGCAGCTTTCTTCCAGTCCGTCTGCGGAGACGGCTAAGGAGTTTATCCTCGCGGCGCTAATCAAGAAGCTGTCGCGCAGTCTGATGATGGATGTGTCGGAACTTGATGCGAGTCGTTCGATGAGCAGCTATGGAACAGACTCATTGGTAGCTGTTGAGATCAAGAATTGGATTCAGAGGGAGACGAAGGCTACGGTTAGTGTGTTTGAGATTTTGCAGAGTGCGAGTATTGGGGGGTTGGTGGATGGGGTTGTGGGGAAGTTGGGGTTGGGTGGGAAGTAGGTTGTCGTGTTGGTGTGAGCTTGGTGAGGCAGCGCCACAACGGGGTATTGGGGGGAACGGTGGCGGTGGAATGGTGCATGTTCTCTTTGCTTTCCTATGTATTTTCATTGTTGATGCAAGTAATCGTGCGGTCATTTCTGCTGGGTTGGTGTGTAGCATCGTATGATAATTTTCATTACAACAATAGAGCGTCTAGGTGATAGTCACAGCGATCTTATTGAGTGGACGTCATGTTCTTGCTACAATGTACTCGCCTCGCATTCACGTAACATAGATTTCGACAAGGCGGGGCGGGTTTGTAGCTGCCTAACCCATCTTTCCCGTATACCTCAGCACACACAAAGACCCCCGTAGTCGTCTAGCACGGCATGCTACCGCATTGGCTTATTGCTACCACGCCTTCACCAGCGCCTAATCCAACAACGACATTGACGCGGTTTCCGAGACGGTCGCCAAACAGGCTCGGAAAGACCGCCTTCAATAGATCGAGGAGGGCATTCTGTGTCGCGAGGGAGCTAGCGCTGTTGAAGAAGCGCTCTTCAAGGAATTCAACAGTCACTAGGATGATGCCGGCGACGATGACGACAACTTCGATGGACTGATCATCTCCATCTCCGCGTCCAACATTCCCAACTGCGCCGCATACAAGATGGTCAAGTACGACCGCGCCAATCCGAATGAGGAGTAATGCCTCACCTACACCAAATACGCCGATGCGAAGGCCGAGCAGAAGCGCAAATTCTAGACCGGTCAGCCGAAGGTCTCTGGCGCTACAATGTCTCGCGGTTCAGCCATCTGGGAGCTCATGAAGGCATGCATCGGCTAGCCTCGTCTAGTCGCCGCCACCTCCGCAGCTATCCAGCGTGAGGGCATTCAGCGCATTCTAGGGCTGTCAGATGTAGACAAGTTCGACATGGTCCTTTTCGATGAGGCCTCGCAAGCTACTGAGGCGTCTTTGATGCTGATTCTGACCACGGAATGGTTCCTGGACGTGGGCCTAGTTGTCTTGGGTGGCGACCATCTCCAACTTCCGCCTGTCATCAAGTCTAAGGGTGAGAACCCCTCCGGTAACATTGCCGAGATCTCGGCCCTTGAGCGCTCGATCGAGATCTAACATGACCGGCCTATCGTCAACCTCATTTGCAGTCACCGTTGCCACTATCGGATATGCAAAGACGCCTCCGCGATGAAGTCCAGGATAGGCAGCAATCCACCAGATTGACGTGACGAATGTGGGTCAACAGGCTTCTACATTCACCACTGCACGCTTGAGCGTCCACTCCACACAGATGTCAGGTGAAGACATGGACTCATGATAATCATCTTCACTGCACAGATTCACTGCAACTACCTCCCGGATGGCATGTACTAACCACGACGAGAGTATGAGAAGAACATGTAGCAGTCTAGCACCAGTCTTGCAGTCACCGCTTTACCCGCCCCGTTAGTCTCACTCATCAGCAATCACCAGCAGCGACGTTCGTGAAAGCCGATATGATGGTGATGTAAAGCTGTTAGCGTCTGGCAAAATGAGCGGATGAGACGAATGTTAGACTTACAAAAAAAAGTAGTGCCACCGTCGGAGGGAGACGATGGCCAATGGCCGCAGCCCCGAGATCGAGAGGGGGTGCAAAAATGAATAAACAAGTAGGTATAGTGCTTGAGGCTGTTCTTCTGACTGTCGACACCTCCCGAAGTCGCGAACGTTAATTCGCACTTGCCGTCGATTAAACAAGCGGGATGTCAGGTGGAGCAAAGAGATGCGGGCAAAGAATGTGCTATTCCGTAACTGTAAATAGCAGAAGTGGTGTGAGAGAAAAAGAAAAGTGGCGGGGGACGAGCAGATTATATACTGGCGAGTGGCGAATCTCGTGCCTGCTGCGCTCGGGCGCTGATGACGTATCGTGGCACAGAAGTCCGCAGAGTCTTCCTGGTGAGGGACCAAAGAGGAAGGAGCACTCAGCGTCTTCACTTTCACCGATATCAACTAAACCTGAAAAACTAATGTATTGCAGCGCTCATAAATGGAGCGCGGAGATGCTCGAAGAAGTTTACAACAGCAAGCAATGGTACCAACGTAAAGCATAGCCCGGGGGTATGCCCAACGTGAAGTCGATAAATCTCACGACCATCACTCCCCCGCCCACCCCCTCACAACCCCCCACTCACCCTCCCCATCCTCCCGAGTACTATAAACAGCCCTAACCCCCTTCTCCTTCAACGCCTTAACAGCCGACGCCCTGTACACGAATCCCTCATCTTCCTTTCCTGTTTCTTGCGCCCAACGCCAAAACTCCCTATTCACCTCCATCTCAACAAAGCTCAAGCTCGGAAACAGGTATCTATCATACATCTTATACAACGCACCACTGACAAACACGCAGTCTGTCATCAAGTCATACCATGTATGCAGGAGATGCAGTCGCTTGAGCGAGGCGGGGAGGACGTCTTTGAGATGGCCCCATGAGGAACGGTGGAAGACGACGCTGGCGTCTATGCAGAGGGACTCGAGGTTGTGTAAGTCGGCGAGGGACGCGGAGATCCAACTCGGAGCTACGCGTCTATCTGTAGCGCCGGTGTTGTACAGCGCCAAGTGCCGCAGCTTCTCCCGATGTTTCCTCAGCGCGTCAACAACAACGCCGAAATGAATAGTCGTTGGCCTGTCGAACTTGGTCCACAGCTGGAACCTGTGATTATGATTCCGAGCCATGTGATAAGCAAAGTGGGACAGCGACTTGCAGCATCGTATTATCAGACTCAAGACGTCGACGTGGAGATAGCCGCCGCGCAGAGTGAGATGGCGGACGGTGGACGTGTGTTCGGGGAATAAACTCGCGTCCCAGTGCCAGGACTGACGCGACTGGAGTTCGCGGAGGTTCCAGACTTCTAGTTGATGGAGGTTGGGTAGTTGGAGTAGCTTTGCAATGCGGTCGATGTCTATTTGGGGGGTTCGTATGGTGACGTTTCGGAGTAGTTTGTAGTTTGGTGGTGTCTGCAATAGCGGTCCTGGTAGGAAGGGGATTTCCCATGGTCGCGTGGATACCATGATGGAGAGCTCTGGAAGCTTGAATTTTCTGTAGTGGCCTTCGACGGCATATTTCAGAGTATGTATATTTGGTGTGTGGAGATATAGCAATGCACATGCTGCAGCGCCGAAGTGGACATCTGGAGCTTGTAGTAGCCGTTTTACAACAGGATCTGTAGTTAAACCCTGCAAGTCTTCGAGGGTAACTGGAGGGGTGTTGGGGTCATCGCTCTTCAATATCGCTATCCGGTATTTCTGGTTCCGATACCCGTTCCAGACTGCATTTAGCTTGAGCGAGCGCACCAGGGCGGCGAGAGAGGGATGGCTGAGAAGGGTTCGGATGAGAAGGACGGGGTTGAAGTCGGCACCGGCATGAATGTTGGCGTAAAGCGCTTCCGTCGCGGCTGGGTTGAGAGGCTTGACTAGACAGAGCTTGCAGAGTACTTTCTTGGAATTCGTATCGGTGACTGCAGCGAAGTCGGCAACTTTCAGAAGCAGTTCTGGTGGTAGATCCCCGATACCCCTGGGTGAGTGCCCAATAGTTGCCTGTAGTGTGTCATCATCGTGGGTTTGTGTTGAACTCATAATTGCCAAGGATTTGGTGTTGGCTGGATGCAGACGATGTGGAAAATTGGTGAGTGGAACGACCAGGGTTGTACCAGCAGTAAAGGCCATGGAGGGATCTTAGAAATCGTATTAGATTAACAGCGAGCGGGCGACTGCAATGGTGAACGTGAGCTGATGCCATTGTGTGAAGCTTCCTGGCCGCGGCATATGTGAAAGCCGACCTGCAGCAGACCGGTATGCGTAAATTGCTGATAGTAAATGAAAAGGAAATGGGGTATCGTATGCTCTTTCACCCAAACGCCAGTAAATGCAAGAATAGTGTCGTGAAACGGTCGTCAATCGATGCGTGCGCGTGCGATCAATCCGAGTCGTAACCCACCAACGCCCCAAGCAAGGCCTGCTTCTTCGTCAGCACCGCGGTGTCCGTCTTTTCCTTTTCTTGACCCGATGGCGACGCGATCGCAGCTGGGTCTTTCGTCTCAGCATCTCTTTTCCTCTTCAGTATTCCAAGGTTGACTCTCGGTGTCGCTGGAGCCTCCTTGTTCAGGAACGGATCAACCACCGCCCTCGTATTCCCGACTAACGTCTGCTGCAACCCCAATCTCGACTTCTCTTTCGCAACTTCCGCCTTGAGCTTCTTCGTCTTCCTCACCGACTCCCCATCCTTCTCATCCCCCACCTCCGCCTCCCCAAACAGCGGCTTCCACGCCAACCCTTCCACCAACCCACCCTCACACACATCCTTAGCGCCAAACTCCACAAGCCCAGCCCGCGTCCTATCCGCCTCCGTCTCATCCACAATATCCAGCCCCAAACTAAACCTCTCCTGTATCCCCTCCTTATGCCTATCCTCCTTCTTCCACACCTCCCTCTTCCCACGGAACACTTCCCTCAACTTCGCATTGACATCGTACGGATCCCGCCAAACCTCCGCTTTATCATACAACTCCTCCACCCTCTCCCTGTTCTTCTTCTCAGTCCCCTTATCCTCCATTTTGCCTTCTAGATTCGCGAAAGCATCGTCCCTCCTCTTCTGCCTCTCCTCCTCTGTCAGGAACTTGAGCTCGCCGTCCGCTGTATCGTCTTTCACAGTAGGTCCATAGTCGCGCCGTCGCGCCCCCTCAACGACTACGTATTCGCTGTTTTGTGGATCGGTTCGGATCTCCCACCACCCGCCGCACGCGCTGTGCTTCATGCGGAAACTCCATATTGGGGTGCTGTGGTAGTTTCCTACTTTCTTCTTCTCCGCGTTGAAACGGACGCCTTGGCCGATGATGGCGGATGGAGTGCAGTGGTTGCACCATACGGCGAAGGGGAGTTCGAAGCGGACGGTTAGGATGCCTTGCGTGATCTTGTTGGCGCGTTTGCCGAGCGGGTGCGAGGAGTTGTTGAAGCTGGGGGGGTTCGAGGCGTCGGGCGGGTAGTACCGCCCCATATTGAAGCCCTGCATCGTGGCGGGTGGGGGAGGGAGGTTTGCGCGACGTGCGCCCGTTCGTGGTGGTGGTGAGGTTTATTGCGTGAGTGACAGTCGCGAATTTGGCCGCGGGAGTGGATGACGTAAGCGAACAGCCTTGCCCTGCATTCACGGATGCGTCGCGACTCTCACGCGACGAGGCTGTTTCACTGGAAGCCGCGTCGTGACGTCATTGACTTCTGCATGTGCATCTAGCTGACCCTTCGCGCACATGCATGGAACTTCCTGACTCGGAAGGTCAATTAAGGTTGCTGTTGATTGCGGCACTAAAAGGCTTGTCTAACAGCAGTTCCGTAACGCTTATCTCCGAGCCCTGGGAATCATGTACAGTCACGATTCATCACATACAGGAACTTCGATAAGTAAAACCGGAAGAATATTCGTCATCATATTGTTCGGATGCTCGGTCTATGCTAGCCTTACGTCCAAACGCCGTGGAACCTCAGGCTATGTTGCCTCAATGGCAACAGCTTTTCGTCAAAACGGATATTCTGCTCCTCCTCTTCCTTCTCCTGGAATGATCATGCGTGGTTCAATCGACCATTTAAGCCTCGTCGGTGATGAGCTTAGTGATCTTGCCAATAGCGATTGTCTGACCCTGGTCACGGAGGGTGAAACGTCCCAGCTGTGGGTAGTCTTCGAACCGCTCGACACAGATGTTTCCGGCTGTACCGGTGATTTGCAAGCGCGCGATGATGCTCATACCCTTGGTAGCGAAGCCCGGTGCCTTCTTCGATTTCCGTCCAGTACCCTTCTCCAGCTTGTGCAACAGAGCGGTGATGGTAACCTCTTCTTGTGCGGCATGGACGTGAAGTACGCAGTTGAATCCGGCTGTCAGGATAGACTTGATGTCAAGTAGTACGACCTGAGCCTCGAACTGGGAGACGCAGTGGACGGGGCGCTTTGGTGAGCACAGAACATATCCCTGGTCATTAAAGTTAGCAAGCAATCTTCCAATCTTCCAATCTTTGCTTACAGGCAGAATGTCTTCTTCTTCAACACCCCGAAGCCTCACACGGATCTGGTCTCCACAGGTTGCGCCTGGGATTTCCTCTTCTTGTTCACCGTACAAAGCGGAGATGTGAATGGTTTGTCGGTTGGGCATCATGAGGTACCTGATATCATTAGTACAAAGCAGACAAAGCTTATGACACTGTGACTTACTTCTGTTCCTTCTTGATGATACCAGACTCGATCTTGCCCTCAATCATGGTACCCATGTCCTTGTACTTGGCGGCGATGGGCATCATGAAAGGAGCGTTGAGCTTACGCTCGAGCGCTTGCATGTTGTCTAGGTATTCGAGCAGAGATGGGCCGTCGTACCAGGGAGCGAGGTCCTTGGGCACACGGGTCTTGATACCTGTGAATGTTTGCGCGCTGACTGGCATCATGCTGATGTCTGTCTTGGGGTTGTATCCGAGACCCTTCAAGAACATGACCACCTTGCTGGTGCACTCCTTGAAACGGTCCTCTGACCACTCAACAGTAGGGTCGTCCATCTTGTTGACGACGATGAGGATCTTGTTGACACCCTGTGTCTTGGCCAACATGGCGTGCTCTCGGGTCTGTCCACCCTTCTCGAAACCGGTCTCGTATTCTCCCTTACGTCCAGAGATGACGAGAATACCAACATCGGCTTGCGAGGCGCCACTGATCATGTTTGGTACATATGTCTTATGGCCTGGCGCGTCCAGGATGGAGTATCGTCGCTTCTCCGTCTCGAAGAAACCTCGGCCGACTTCGATAGTCTTGCCCTGCTGTCGCTCTTCCTTGTTCAAGTCAAGCGCCCACGAGATGTACCATGTTTCACGACCAGCGTCCTTGGCTTCCTTCTTGTACTTGTCAAGTGTTCGCTCGTCGACCATGCCGGTGGAGATAAGAATACTTCCGCCAAGGGTGGACTTTCCAGCGTCAACGTGACCCAAGAAGATGATGTTGACGTGCTCTTTTCCGTAAATCTCGGCAAGGGTGGCCTCATCAACGACTTCGTCCATTTCCTTCTCGACATCCTGTGCCTTTGCCTTTTCGGCAGCCTTCTCCTTCGGCGTCGGGCTGTTGCGGCCAGAGGAGGGTGTTGGCGAGGTCCTGCCAGAGCCTCCAGACGCCGGGGTGGGCTCTCCAGTCTTCTCAATGGCCTTTGCAGCGGTGACCTTGGTGCCGGCCTCAGCGGTGCCCTTCTCCTTGTCTGCCTTCTCCTTCGCTGCCGATGGAGCGGCGGGTGTGCCCAGACTCAGGACCTTGGTGCCGCCTGCCTTCTCGACCTTCGGTGTTGTGGTGTCGCCTCCGATGGAGAGGACCTTTGCCTTGGGCGCGCTGTCGCCACCAATCGAGAGAACCTTTGCCTTGGGCGCCTCCTTCTTGGCCTCGGCAGGGGCGGCACCCTCTGAGCCAGCCATGTCGGTGTCGCCTCGCTTCGCTATCCGTACGGGCGCCTGGCCTTGCTGCGCCTGCTGGGGCTGGAAGTTTTGTTGCTGGGGGTATTGTTGTCCGTAGTTGGGGTATCCTCCTTGCTGGCCGCCGTATTGCTGCCCGTATTGCGGGTAGCCTTGCTGTTGCTGGTAGCCACCATATTGCTGGCCACCGTATTGGTTGTAACCGCCATATTGCTGCTGGCCGTACTGGTTGTAGCCCTGGTAGCCTCCGTAGGCTTGGCCGGGGACGAATGTGCTGGCGCCGGGCGTGAATGTCTGGGCGCCTGGTGTGAAGGTGGGCGTGTTGTTGAGGTTCATGCCCTGCGCCTGCTGCGCGAGGCGCTCCTCCTCTTGCTCCCAGCTGTCGGCCATGGTGACGTCGGTCTCGCGGGGATGTGTCGTGTCGTCGGGGTGGTGTGGTGCGACGGCGTGCGAATTTGGACGGTTGAGTCGCTCGTAAATTGGAGAATGCGTGAAGTCGACCCGCGGCCAGGGAGCGACTATCAGGTATATGAGCGGGCGGGCGTCGAGTGTCGTCGGCGAAAAGTGAAAATGTGCCGGGTCGCTGCTGCCCACGCAGGATTTGGCGGGGTTGCTTTGGGTGGCTGTGTGGGGCTGACTCAACGCCTCGCTGCCTAACATTGGCCAGGGCGCCCAGCAACAAAGGCACTCACCAACCTCAAACATTCACTTTGTCGTCACTTGCCGCACTTAATCCCGGTTGCGTTCCCCAGCAACCTGACATCTGACCTCATGGTTCCTCTCTCCCAACCACTTCATCAACCGCCCCTTCCACACATACAAGGGTGAAGCCCAATCCATAGGGCAAGATGGAGGCAATCTTAGCAAAGGTATGACTATGCTTTGACTCCCAACACGTCATAGTTGACAGGGAGTCATCTTCTCGTATTCTTGAATTATGCTGACACGTGACAGGTCACCCAGCAGGCTATGAGCTATGCTATCCGAAGCGGCATAGCAATCACCAGCCACTATGCACTTAAGCAATGCGGCCGACTGATGAAGACGGTCGATGGTCGAGAAAAACAGGAACTCGCGACTCTGCAGTTGAGACTCGACTCCAAGATCAAGATCATCTCACCGGCAATCGATATGATCGAACTGATTGCGGC